TCTTGTGTATATATATATATATATATATATATATAATCAGCGTTCTTATCCAACGGACGTACAGTGTGTCAAAAAAAACAAAACAAAAAAAAAAAAAGAACAGAACACCCTTAACCCCTTGGGGGCGGGTGAATCAGAAAAGCATTCGTGCAAAATCAGAATCATGTTGTAAATAAATAAAAAACGGTAACTTAAACGTAGTCGTTGCTAATTTGACAGACTTACTTTGCTTTTACTATAATTATTGTTAGTTTAATCATATATATAATCAATGTTAATTCAATGTATAACTGAATAGTTTTATTTTGAACAAAGTAATGATGAATTAAATAAATCAAACAATTATAACTGCGCCAACAAATAAACTGCTGAAGAAATACTTTGATTACCAGTTTCATCTTTTGACCCTGATTGATACGGTTTTATGCTGGCACGTATTTGTGACAGTCGGCGCGAAAGGGTTAATAACTTTTGATCTAATGATCGGATCTTCACGTCCTAGGGCGTAAACGAAGCCTAGGGCGCAATGGCTCGAAGGGGTCACCTCAAATATGATTATAAATAAAAGTACACGATATTCTAAAGTTACGAAATCAGAAGTAAAAACGTTTTCTCTCTAAATAACATAAATTTTTTCGGACGGATTCTGATTTCCTGCCACCAAATTATGAGGGGTAGTAGCAATCTGGGAAATATGGTCCTCATAATTTGGTTAGGAGAGCGATCTAAAGTTTGAACCCCCTAACGTTAATTTTAATTTTGCCTATTCTCTCATTCCTTGCGAACTTTTAAAGCAAATTGAAGCGCACAATTATAAAGTTCGTTTATCCAAAGGCAAAATCATGAAAAAGTATAATTTTACTAAGTATTTTCTATTTTTTACCATTTTATTTAATAACAGTCGTGAAACTTTTGAATTGGAAGGTATATAATTTTTTACATAATTTTAAAGTATCTAATTTTACATGACAAAATGAAAAGTTTTAGTAAAATCGGTATATCGTTAAAATCGGAATTCCTGAGAAATCTATTTTAAATATACGACTTTTATGAATAAAAAGTCTTTAAGACTTTTCAATTCGCTTAAAAAGTTCTCGGGATATGGCGAAATACTTAAAAAAATTAAATTATCATTGGGGAGCCCAACCTTTGGATCGCTCGCCTGACCAAACTTTAGGGACCATATTTTCCAGATTACTGTTACCCCTATATTTCAGTGTCCAAAAATCCAAATCTGTTTAAAAGAAGGTATGTTTATTTAGAAAAAAGTACGTTTGTTCGTCTGATTTTGTAACTTAAAATATTGTCTGCACCAATTAATTGGCACATTTGAGGTCCTCATTTGAGGCACATTTGAGGCTTGAGGTCATCAAGATTGAGTCCTAGAGCTTGAAGATCCAATTATTACACCAAAAGTTATTCAGGGTGGTCCGTTTTTTTTATTTTGTGCACTGCACATTATTTTCTAAGAATCTTTCTTAAATTCTTAAATTCTAAAAGCTAATATTGTTAGATTTTTCTCTATTTTTTTATTGTCTAAAACTGAAAAAAAAATCTTTCATCTCTCTACTTATAAGTGAATACTTAATCATACACTTCTCATTATACAACAGTTGTTTTGGAATTTGAAATTCCCCAATAAAATAGTTAACTGAAAATAGCAGAAAGAACTTATGTCTATTCAAAGGATTTATAATTAAGTTTTATTGTAAAATCTCAACTTTTGCTAAGGCAAAATAATATAAAGGATATATATTTTTACCAAGTACCTATTTCTGTTTGTTAGAAAATAAAAATAAATAAATTCCAATAAAAGGGCGGCGAATGCTTGAAAGCATTGTTCTGGATTCGTTTTAGTGAAAAAGAAGAAACCTAAATAAATCAGAAGGAATGTTGTTTACTAGAAATCGAAAAAGAATTCTTCTATAAAGGTAGACTTTGTGTTTGTAAAAATAATTTTAAAACTCAGTTCCAAGTTTAGTATTTTTTTCTTTTATAGAATCGTGCTTATAAATAGTGAATAACATACTCTTGATATTTTTATTAGCCTATTTTTACCAGACTCTTATTTCCTTAAAACTTTAAGCTAAAGTAAAAGCAAAAAAAGGAAAATATTCTTTAAAAAAATTGGGAGTACTTCCAAATTACATTTTAGGAAATCCAAATGTATTTGGCGAATTCAAAGCACTTTCAAGAAACTGTGCAAAAAAATTGTATACAACTTTTTATATTCAAAATATATGTTTTGAAGTTACACTAAAAACATTATTTCATTTGCGAAGGCGAATAATTAGTTATTTTTAATAGGTGATAAACGTTTATTTTTCTGAAAAAAATGGTACTTTTTACGCAGTTTTAAAGCTTATACACAGAAAAATTTCTGGTAAAATTA